TCACCATCTCCAAGGCCAAGCAGTCGCTAGGTAAGAAAAACTTTGGATATATTCATGCGAAGACAATCGCAGTGTCAGTGTATGAAAAAGGCATTTAACTTGGGTTTGCTTGGTTCATGTGTTCAGGAAGAAGAAGGCAAAATTTAAAAGCAATTATGATGAGAAAAGGCTTCTTGGTTACCTGATAAGAAAAAAAAACTCTTTAAGAAGATTACCAACAAAATTAAAAACAGACATGAAGAAACAATATTACTGAAGCAAAAACGTGCAAAAGAACCACAGAAGCACAATGACAACCGAAAGTGATGAATAAATAAATGTAGCAAGTCGACAAGGGAACACAGAAAAGGTGAAACCTGCAAAATCAGAAATAAAACACACAAACAAACAAACAAAACAAAAATCGAAAGGAGAACAACTTTGAAAGAGCTGCTGGTTATTTTTTGCCTTTTCTCTTCTTTGTGCTCATGTGGTTCACATTGTTTCATGCATGTCTTTTTGGGTACAAAAGGAACTGTCTGCTTTGGGACGTTTTATATCCAAAGTAACTTTCTACAATCCACTCATAGTCTGCTGTGAGTGATTATGCAACTCTAATAAATAATATGTTTCTGCAGGAGGTCACTCAAAGTTTGACAGAAGTTTCAATAATGATCAAAAAGAGAATTTAATGGGTGAAATGTGAAATATTCCAAAAGAAAAATTGCAAATAAATTTAATTTAACATGACATCACAGCATTAAAATAGTTATCTCAAGGGTTAATCAAAGATATTGAAAAAATCAAGCTGTTTTTGCGATAGTTAGAAATAAAGAAGACCGGGAGAGAGCTGTGGAAATGAATTTGGTATTTTTAATCTTATCTGGTCCCGTCCATTGATGGACTGTTGCATGTCAGAACCAAGGGTTCTATTCCCTAATTTACAAAAAGTCTGGCATTTACCTACTTTTTTTTAAAATTACTTTACGTATTTTTTACAGGTATTAGCATCTCTGGGGGTATTGAGTCTAAGATCCAGCCTGTAATAAAGATTGAGAAAATATTTCCGGGAGGAGCTGCATCTACAAACGAGGCTCTGAAGGTGGGCATCTACTAGCATAATATTTCACCAAAATTTTTTTTTTTGCTCTGACTTCAAAGCTAGATTTTCATCCCATTTTACACAGACCTGAAGAAACATTTGCAAAGTAGTTAACACATTTTCCACCTTCCCTCCAAACATTATACGGATATTAACCCCATTTTTAACACATCAGTCGTCCATCTTGACTCCAGCGTGTTATCAGATCTCTGCTCTGTGGCTTCGAGCTGAAGGAGGTATTAGCTGATGTTAAAAGTGTGCAGTGAGGAGAAGATGAGTGGAGGGCCATCTCAGGTAGCGCATCGTCTCTATTATTAATGAAGAACATGGTTGCTGCTCTGCTAATGTATTGGTGATATATTGCCTGCACAGTTGCTTAATAGTGGCTGATGATCTTGGTCAGACTCCCTTTAAGCACTTGATACACCAAGTCTTTCACTAAAGGTCACTTAGCATGCACAGAAAGAAGCTGAACATGAGAGAGTTGGAGCATGGGAAGGAGTTTCCTAAAATAAAAACCATAAGGAAGGTTCCAACTTCATTTCTACTGCCTTTATGTGTGAGCATGACTATGAATCCAGAGCAAGAGCAAAAAGTTTCCATTCTTGGAAAGAGGAGGGGGACAATCTGAAATGTCTATTGTGCTAAAAGCTGGAAGAGGCTGGAAACCTTAATTTAAATATAACTGCTTATTAAAAATATAGTTTAAATTCTATTCACCAAGACAGACAACCAGATTACTATGGATTTAAAGAAGCCCAACATATGCCAAAAGCTTTTGAGTAATATTATTCACAAGCAACAGAATGTTGCAGTGACTGCCATCCTTCTTTAAGACATCACGAAAAACAGACCGCTTATTGGCTACTTGGTCCTGACAGAGATAAAAGTCTCCATGATCCATATTATCTGGGTTTTTTTTCATCTCAGACCTCACAGCTTGGCAAGTCGACTAGTTCTATTATTAGCCGCACGGTTCAATCCTTCCTCCTTCCTCTCTGGAAAAGGAAGCAACACCTGAGTAGTACAGGATTACCACGTAAAATGTTTCTTCGTGTGATTGAGCCATCACACACTTCATTTCCAAAAGTAATCATTCAGCCATATAAATCAATGCATTTAGGTATTTAAATTAGTTCTGTGACCAACAGTGGATAAAATCCAGCAGCTCTGAATGCAGACCAATGGGTCACTCTCAGGAGCTCAGTACCATCGAGCAGTGTGCCTTAATATAATCCCAACTCCTGCCTAAATGTTCCAAAGACAACTGTTAATATAAAATGGAAATGACTGGGAATGACAGCAACATGCGCAGACATCCAAACCTTCACATTAGGTCCAAAAGAATGTGTGGAAATCGTAATGGGAAAGCTTTCCATGGCTGAACAGCTGCATCCTAATCTTACATCAGCTGTGCTGCAAAAATGTGTTCCTTCAAAACAAAGTAGCTGGTTTTCACAACCGCCATACATTGGTTTAGATGTTTACATCAGAGGAGAAAAAAAATGTATTGTGTTCAGGTTTGATACATTTCCGGCCATTCCTTTCATTTTTGAAAATTACTTTAAAGAAACACAAGCAGAATATTCCTTACACTATTAGTGTCATTTTGTGTGGACATGCGATGCATGTGTTACATAAACTTGTCTTGGAAAAAACAGTTAAAGCTTTTTTTTTAAAATGACCTTTTCATTAGAAACGTTGCTCAACTCTTTTTAAGAGCCGCAGTGGAAAATCTACGGAGTCATTTCAAGGAAAACATGCAGCATTTTTGGCAAGCTTTGGTATCTGTTGCCCTCTGTCTGTTAAGAGGGGAAATCTCATCCAGCTCTAAAGAGGATGGGGAAGATTATAATGTGATCAGTGTAATTCAGAAAAAAAAAAGTAAAAAAAAAAAAAAAAAAAAACTGGTGAAAGGATTTTTAAGCTCTAGTGGTTAAATTTAGCTAAATCTTTTTGTGGAGAGCCAGTGAACATCTCAGACTGCGGTTTGTGGCTGGGATCAAATTAGGGCAGGACAGATGTAATGACTCACGTAAACCTTCTACATATACAGACTTGATGTGATTAGATAGCCATCTAATAAATCGAAAAGGGAAAGAGAAAGCAGATCTGATTGCTCGTAACAATAGCCTTTGTCCCTGTGTGCTTTTGTGTAAAGTGGTTGCTAACCTTCACTGAGGCAGTACGCCTGAGGCAGGTGCATCCTCAGCAAACACCGTTGACATCACAGGAAGTTCCTCTGCGGAGGGCTCAGAAGATTTGCAGCCGTCTCCTCACATCCTGCAGGAAACTGTACAAATGCTCTCTGACCATGTGTGCATGTGCAGGTGTTTGGGGATTGTTGTTTTCTTTCACTGACCTTGTGCTGAAAGGGAAACGTTAAAATATACATGCAGTCAGGGTGTGAACATTTTGACATGAAGAGAGAATCACTAGAGTTTCTTTGCTATTAATTATGTCTGAAGTTTTTTTTCTTTTGTTTGTTTGTTTTTGTTTTGGGGAGAATACAGACTTCTATAGAGTTAGGAGAAAAAAATCTGAAGAGACTAAATGTTCTTAAAATATCATGATTGTGCATTACAGGCAGGGTATGAGCTGCTGTCCGTCGACGACGAGCGTCTGCAGGGAGTAACTCATCAGCACGCCGTTGACGTCATCCGCCGGGCCTTCAGCAACAAGGCCAAAGACCCGATGGTTTTTGTGGTCAAGGTCCCGAAGGTCCCTCTCGTCCCCCCGGAGCTGTGAGACCTACTGAGTCGACGCTGTGCGCCTCGCCAGCAGACTGCTGCCCAAGCATAAAAGACAGCGAAACCTGCAACTCCTGACAGAAACAAAGTGAATCAAGCAGATTGTAGTAAAGTTTGTTAAAAACACTTTTTTTTGCCACATCGACATGAGATGAAGTCCAACATGTGTGACTTTTATAACATTTTACTAAATGCATTCACTATTGATTATATATATATATATATATATATATATATATATATGTAAATAAGATAATTTGATTCACACCGATGCTCTTGGTTGACCGTGCCACTGTTCCAACAGGCCTAGCCGTGACCTCAGCACTGTCTGACAGTGGACTGCACTTTACTCTCCTCGGCCCAGCAGCCCTCGCAAAAACCGCCAGACGGAGATTATCCCGGCTTGTGTCATGAGACTTATAGATTCATATCCAGATTAAAGTCCTGTATTATGTCAAAACTGAGAGTTTGATTTTAGTGGCTGTCTGGGATAATTAAAAATGTTCTACTTTGTATATTTATGCATTTTTTTTTCCTCTTTTTTGGCAGAAATCTTTGTGATCCGAAGCAATCCGCCACTTTAGAGGCTTAATTACAGCTCGCTTTGGTCAAAGCTTATGCAGGCATGTAAAGAAGAAGGAAATCACATCACAGGGTTAAGCAGGACTTGGACGCTGGTGGTATGGTTTAAATCAGAGCAAGGGAGCTCAGATAAGAGCAGGAGGATGTGCTGTGCATAGTGCCTTATTTCTGTGGAAGAGCAGCAGTGGGAGGAGAACACTGATAAAGTATTACCCATAAGTGGTTCTGAGGTGAAGGCTTTATGACCGCAGATGTGGTAGAAATGTAAGGATGTAACTTGTGTCTCAATGTCTTTGAGTTGCTACAAAATACAGAAGTAGTTTTTAAACATTTCCTTTACAGAAATGAAGAAATAAAACACCACAAGAAGTATTGTAAGATATGTGATGTTTGAACTACTAACAATGAAACCTATTAAGACCGCACAAGAAGTCTGTCATTTTAGATCATATTTCTCAACAACATATATATTTTCTTTGTGCCGACACAAAATAACATTTAAGAGGGTTGGAAAAACCTCCAGCACCACTATGCGGCAGAATTTAAAGGAAAAAATAACATCATTTAGGATGCTTTGTGCATTTTCTTGCGTAACAGAAACAATTACTCCAGTCATTTTTGCGTCGTGACCACTTGCTCTTTAATTAAAAACACTGTAATTTGTACATGTATTGTACACATAAAAATATACACAAACAGCTAGACACTTTATTGAATTAATGACAACACAGAAAGTAAAAATACAAAAAGAATGCTCACAAAGGGATGAAAAATGCCACAAAAATGTAAAAACACCAAAAAATCCCCCAGAAATGTTACGTTGCTTTGGTCTAGTCACAGTGGCTACATTGGAAATAGATATTTTGTGTAAATAAAAGACATTGAGACTCTGTTATACTGTTTAATGTTTTACATATTTACACAGAAGATAGTCGTGTTACTTTGAAGCTGAGATATGAGAAAATGTTTAAGTGTGTGAGTCAGAAGCATCCTGTGCTTGTTGCTTTGCAGATGTGCTGATTAACAGTCTACGTCTAGTTACAGTGAACGTGGCAGAACTGAGCTACTTCCCATAGGAATGTATACACAGAGCTTAATGCTTGAGACTGTTTCACGATCCCCAATGAAAGTGGTGATAACGTGCAGCATACTGAAATATCACTGTAAAATAAAACTTTCTAGGCTTGCATCAGCCCATCTCACGTTGATAAAGATGTCCCTCAAAATAACAAACAATCTCATTTGTCTTCTAAGCAATTGGCGTGACAAAACGCAAGAGGTCATGACTAGTATGACACTGGAAATCAACTTAAGAACAGCTCAGAGAAGCGGGGGGAAAAAAAGGCAAAGATGAGCAGGACGCATAAAAAGGAGACACCCTTCGGTTTCACATCCTGCTTTTTAGCAAGCTTGCTCATCAGAATGCAAGATTTTTCAACACAGATTATATAATGTAAACATTAACTTGTCATGCATTACAGTATTAGGTGCACGCGTTCTCTCTGCAGATGCTCCCGTTTGTAACTCATCAACTGAAACATTGGTACATGATCGACATCAATCCACACCAGTATTACAGCAAAATGTAGTCAGGTGCTACATATATATAAAAAATATACAACTTTTCCTCCATTATATAGATTCCCGTGTATCAATACTATATTATTCCTTAATAAAGACTCTTTACAAAATAAAGTTCTCAGCAGCCCTATATCTATCTCTATGCTCAGTGTCACACACAGCCCTGCATTTACTGAGAAAATGATTCCACACTCCATGAAAAGCCTGCAGGAGCAAAACGCCTCTGCAAACTCACTTCACCTGAACTGGCTTCTTCCAAAAGGTCCTGCAAACAAAGACATGCAAACACGGCGCTTCCATCTCCTTCAGCATTCAATGAAAATAATTAGGCCAAATACCAGGAACACAGACAACTTTTAAACATGTTTTTTTTTTTTTTTGGCTTCGCTAGTAATGATATCTAGGCAACTAAAACAGTGCTGAAGTTTACATACACTCATCAGGAGCATGAAAGTTTTACTGTGTCAATGATTCATTGAAAACATTATTTTGGTGGTGGGATGATTTTAGTTAGGGGTGCAAAAAGTTGAAATGTTCTAAATCAGTTTTGATTTAAGTTTCGGATCAATGTCCTGTTGAAGCACAAACACTGGAAATTCAATTCACGCCTTTTGTGATTGCGGTCAAGCAGCTCAGCCTTTGTCGCGTTTTACCATAAAACGTTCCTCAAGATGAGCAAATAATGTAATGTTTTCAAAATGTAAAAAAGCCAAAAGATAATATTTTGCCAACAACATAGTTATTATGTTGGAAACTGTAAGAAGTTTACATACACTCATCAGGAGTGTATGTAAATAAGATCTACACAGTTCACATTGTTTACATCTTTTGAGATTTAGTGCATTTCAATAAGAGATCTACATGCATTTCACAGTAATTAATTTAATATTCCTTCATACATCAATATATAAATCTACATATCTAAGCCAATAATATCCTACCAAAAGATTTTTTAATAGATAATCCTCAAATAGAATCTCATGTCCTTGATGAGGTAAGAGAGCTGCATGCGACTATTAAGCCATCTAATGAGTAATATTCATAAGAAATACAGCCCTTTTATTCATATATTATGCATATTATTAGTATATTTTGAAAATAATTTCCTAAAATTCAATAATCAAAGACAATTTTAGAACAATTTATTATTCTAAAATATTGGAACAATATTAATGCCTTGATTACATTTAGAAGCGAAAACAAAATGTGTTGAGTTATTGGCAGCTATTAAGTTATCAATCACCGTTCTAATTATTGGTCACTACGACAATTAGTAGTAGAAAACTGGTTAAGGAATAATAAAAAGTAGAAAAACAATAAAGCCCAGACCACAACTCTATAGGAAGTGAAAGCATTAGGCTTTAAAAGCTGATATGTGAGGACACATTCCAAATTAAATAAACTCTGCTAACTACATCGACAGTGATCGTATCTCTAATCAGAATTATGCCAGAAGCTTGTTACAAAAAAACACAATGGAGTAAAGTGGAGCTTGTTAAGGGACATTTATCTAAATATTGGTAGGGAAGTTTATACATATTTGAATGTTTATGTATAACTTTGAACCTGTGCAGATTGAAGAAAACATGAATTTAATTCCAGTTTGCAGAACCAGTTATTATAGTGTTTCCTAATGCATTGTTTTTGTTTAAACTATTTAATCCTGAAAAAGAGAATGGTTTAAATGAATACTCATGAAAAGAACTAAATTAGCGTGACATTCATACCGATAATGAGTGTGTGTAAACTCTTGACCTGCACTGTGGGAGTCACACAGGAAGGAAATAAATCCAAAACAGAAACTACAGGCATGCAATAAATCTTTGTTGCCCCACAAGATTGCTATCCTGCACTTTCAATACTGCTTTGGATATGGTTTCACCCTGGTGCTAATAGCTGAGAGAGATAAAAAATAGCTAACAATGAAGCAGAAAGTTGGAACTGGGAGAAAAACAAAGAAAAAAGAGAAATCTTTATAAACCCCGCTGATATCTGCCATACTTCACCTCTTCCCCCAAGCTAAATACGGGCTCGCTACATCGTCTGAACCAGTTTTATGAGGCACAGTATGACTAAAAAAACATGAGTTCAAAGTGAAAAACTAGCTTTTATTGGATCCTGGAGTCTTGGTGAGAAGCAACAGAATGAGATGTCCACAAGTAAATAAACTATGAGCTCAAACATCAAAGTTAAGTTGAGCTTAGTTGGTATCACTTTTCTGATTTTCCTCTGAAGGAAACAGAATAATCCCAGACAAAAGAGAACTGGAAATCTTGGCTAAAATCATGCCATTGTTTCTCTTGGTGAGCTAAGCAGAGATGAGTTATTATGTTGTTTCTCTCTGAAACACAGGTCACCACACATGTGCTGCAATAACACAAACTCCTGCCAAAAATGCCTGGATTACAACATGTCTTCTAACTTATTTACAGATTGGTGGTAAACGAGGAATCTAAACCGTCAATGCTGTGACGTTTTTATTTTTCTTTTCTTTTTTGCGGCGCCGAAGTTCAGATTGGTCACTGCTAACTGAGCTGCTGTGTTGACGCCTGCATATACTGTACATGCTGGTGGCCAGGTGTTTTATATTGCAAGCAGCCAAGAAGCTTAAGTGCATGATGATGAGATTTTTCTGTAGGGAATATTTAATATATATATATTTTTTGCTTTAGGTTCCTGTTTAATTGAAATACCCTGATTTGAAGATATTCTGAGAATGACACCATCTCATCAATGCTTTTGGTCTCAGAAAGAATGCAGTCTTTGTGCTGGCTTTATGGAGGTAAAAACCTAATAGAAACACTGCAGGAGATGCCAGACGATGAATTAGTGGGGCGCATCTGTGTTAACACGGACTAACAAATGCACCTTTGGGAGATGTTCCCTTTTTAACAGTGTTCAGAGCTTGGTCTGTGCTCCATGTAACACCACATTGAAGCTAGTACAGCATTTGGTCCACAGTTCAGTGTTTGGTTTGCATCTTCAGGAACTTGAGTGAGTTTTCTCCATGTTGTGTGTGCACATTTTACTGGATTGCGTGCGTGCGTGCGTGTGTGTGTGTCTAGATCTCAGTGGCAGTGATTTCCTCAAAGTGGATGTCGTTGCTGCCGCTGCGGACCTCGTAGTCCTCCATGTCCCTATTCTCCAGCTCCAGACTCAGCTCCCTCATCACTCGCTCTAGATCACGGTTGCGGCGATACATCTGGATGTAGTTCTGCTGCAGCTGCTTTTGGTAGCGGATTACCTGGGTAAAAAGGAGGGGAAAAGATCCCATAATGTGAATAAAATGTGAGAGGAAGCAATCAACAAACAATGTAAATAGAGAAAAGATTTAGATTTTCATTTAAATTGCTTTTTATTTTACTTTCTCTTTCTCCTCATGCCAGACCCTCCTCTCTTCCTCAAAGCGCGACCGCTGCTCCTCGCCAGTTCTTCTCTCATACATGAGCTCAGCTTTCAGTCGATCCACCTGAAAAAAAAAAAAAAACATTTTGCATTTTAGCAAGTTTTCTTGGGAAACCCTGCGATCTGATCATATGTTTTTTTTAGAATTTGGCCCATTTGCTATAAAAATAAACTGAATCGTTTATTTGCTAAAATATTCCTAAAAATTCCACTTTTTTTAAACATCTACTTATGTTTTCTGTGTGACAAAGAATTGCTAAGAAAGTACCTGCTGTCTGAGTCCCATTAGTGTTTCCGCATTCTGCCTCTGAGCCTTGACTTCGTCGCTCTCTCCGCCCCACACCAGGTAACCGTCCTCTCCATCACGGTACATGCAGGGACTGGGACCTCCCCTTCCCATCACAACTCTTCCCTGTTGAAACGACAGGCTCATGCCGAGCCCCTTCTTGGGCGCGTTTCCGCTGTGATTGGACAGTGTGTCGCGGATCCGGCCCGACTCGTCCTCCAGACGGCTGACCTTCTCCCGCAGCAGCTCAGCTTCGCTCTTGCGTCTTTGGAGTTCGTTCTCGCAGACCTCCAGCTCCAGGGACCTCGTCCGCAGGGCCGTCTGGGCCTCTTGGGTTCGGCCCTGGCTCGCCTGCAGCTCAGAGCGAGCTTCCCTGAGCTGGGCCTTGAGAACGACGATGTCACCCGCTTTCTGGCTGAGCTCAGACTGGATTTCTTTCAGCTGCTGCTTCAGAAGTGAGATCTCTCCTGACTTCTGACAAACCTGATGAACAGCATCAAATGTGTTAGAGGAAGACAGAAACTCTAGAAGTACTTGTACAATGCATTTTTAAGCCTTATCATAGTCAAACATTTTATACGGACAAAAAAGAGACATACAACAAAGGTTTTCTGCCAAACTCAGAGACACTGTGATTCAGAATCTGACCTTTCCAAAGTCACATTCTTACTCACCTCCCACTTCGTCTCCTCCAGTCGGGGCCCCAGCTGCGTCTGCTCCCTCTGGATGTTGGCACACTTTCTCTCTAGTGTTTCTCTGTCCTGCAAGAGGGATGAGAAATCCTCCTGCAGCTTCTTTTTTTCCTGCTGTAGCTGGAAAACCTGAGAAGGAGCAGACATGCAGGTTCGACATGAAGGTCAAATTATCACATGACGTTTATGACTCCTGAGACAAAAGACAACGTAGTCAGGTAACTTAAAGCTGACATTTAAAAAAAAACAACAACATATTTTGTACACTATTGAAGTTCATAAAACATATTTCAGTTGTATAACGTCAACATGTACAATCCCCTGTGGCTCTGTAAAGGTCTCTGAAGTTGTAAGAGATCATTGGTGAGCAAACAGAATCCTAATAAAATACTTTCAGGTTGTTATGTGACAAAACGTAAAAAGTCTCAAAGGGGTATGAATAGCTTTGGAAAGCGCTGCATGAGACAAAAACTGTTTCTATGTGTCTCACTTACCTGCAACTGCAGCACCTGCTGTGCTCTCTGAGCTTTCTGAGACGTCTGTTTCATCTTGACTGCACAGCTCTGTCTCAACTCCGCCATCTCTCTTTCACACCGTCGCTGCTTCTCTTCATACACCTTGCAACGCAAAAGACATGAGTGAGACGATTTTCTGGACTGGCATCAACATCAAATGCTTTATTTGAAATTTTAAATGCGTTTTGTTTTTGTGACAGGATAACGGCGAACCACCTGGCAGATGGCCGCCTCGTTCTCATCCAGGTTTTCCCGGAGCTGTTGGAGCTCCAGGTCTCGCTCCCTCAGCTTCTCTTCCAGCTCCTTCACCACCACTTCGTACCCCTCCACAGGCGGTGGCGAGTGCCCACAGGACCCGCTGTCAGAGAGGGGCTGCCCGCGCCCACTCAGCGACCCCGAGCCTGTGCTTTTGCTGAAGGAGGAGCGTCCGCTGTCCGAATTGCTGTGACCGTGGCCGCCACTTCCTCCTGAAGTGTTGCGAACCAGAGCCGACACCGGTTCCACCGAGCCCCCGGAACCAGACCCTGAGCTGGATCCTTCGCTGGGGGCCAAACTGTAGCCTGTGCTGCTGTGGGTGGGGAGGCTGGAGAGGGAGTTTCTCCCTGAGTCGGACATGGAGCAGGACTGGCTGCTGCGAGCGTTTCGGCCTCCGCACGAATTGGTTTTCCCCTCAGAACTGGAGCTGCCAAGGTTGCTGTTTGTGCTGCTCGTGCTGTTGGGGGCGGCGAGGGGCAACAGGAGGTTTAGGCTGGCCTGGCTCTCGGACAGACTGCTGCCTACTGGCCGTGGAGACAGGTACTGTACCGAGTGACGGTTCTTGGGGATGACAGGTTTGAAAGCCGTGGGACGAATCAAGACTTTCTCCATGTTCTGAAAGGGAAGAAAACAGAAGAATTGATCATTTCTGACTTACAAAGGGCTCATCTGTGCTACTTTACTTATGCATATTTATTACTTATGCAAAAACAAAAGTTATCCCCATCTATTCTTGTTTTGCTTCTTGAGAATTATTACATATTACATTTCAGAAAATCTAGATGAAATAAATAGCACTATACAACCCAAACATAAAAGTTGTAGTAATAATGTAATATGTAAAATTTTAATTAGTATACTTCTATAGGCACTGCTGTTAGGCTATGTCAAATGAGGTGACTGATATTCTGACCTCTACCACTGTCAGAATAGCCTACCTATAGACTTCACTGATAGTGATATTCTTAACGAACGAGTAAATAAATAGATTGAGTCAGAAGAGAGGACATTTGATTAAAGATCAAAGAAGTAAGAGAGTGAAAACTGGAGGTGAAGGTCTAGTAGAGATGATGCAGAAAGCTTCTTCTGTTCTGTAAGCATTTTTTAATGATGTTCCTTAAGGTTCATTAGATACGTCGATAGAAGTAAGTGATTTCTGACACTGATCGTAAAGCGTCTGCAAGGTGAGTCAACTGATCCATCTGAGCTGGTCTGGCTCAGTGGATCGATGGAAATGAGCTAATTAAATAACTTCAGACTTTCTTATGAATAGAATCTAAAGATAGGCAAAAGCACATTGAAAAAAAAAAAACATTAAGTGTCCGATCACGTAATCCCGAGCTGTAATTGAAGACAACGTTGTCCTTTAAAAAGGACAGAGGTCTCAGTGCTTACAGTACAGAGAGGGATTTAGTATCAGGCTGATAGTCAAATGAAGATTTCTGCTTCAGTGATTGGTCACTTTGCTTCAAATGCTTCCGAACAAAAATAAAAACACTGCGACATCCCACTGCAGTGTTCCTTTTAGTAACAGTCCAAGATGTTTTGACATGCGGTAGATCAAAACAGTCATAACCAAGAACATATACTGAAATAAATGTGTGTGAATGGAAAAATGTAGAAATGACAGTTTTCCACGGAAAGAAAAGATCAATGATTTCTTTTTGCTCAGTGATGTGCATGGTGGAATCATTGTTGGAAAATATGACTGCTAAAGCAAGATCTTAATGAGAAATCAGTGCATTAAAACAATTATTTCACTGATTGTGTTTTTTGATTTAAGCTGGATGGGTTTTAATCCAAAATGTCCTTGAATTTGGCCAAACTCAAATTCAAGGCAGAACAGAGATTTGTTCAAACTAAATTTTAAGATTGATAAAACAAATATTCTTGTTTGAAAACATACACATAAATACATGCAGAAAATTTACTATTATTTTTATAGACAGATAAGTGAAAAGACTGTTATATTTAAATGCATCAAACCTGAACTAAAAAATATCTTCAGAGAAAAAACAAAACAAAAAACATTGTTTACATTTCTCTGCTCCTTTTCCACAAAGGAACACCTAGACCTTTTGACAACAATCACATAATTTAATACTACTAAAAATAATAACCTCATAATTAACAATAATACATTTATTGTGAAATGTGGCAACATTTTGGGATTTTCATTTTTAGCTAATAATTTTGTGTTAGTATACCTAATTATTTAGTTCTTATTTAGTTGAACTAACTTTCAATAAACCATTTCAGTTCTCTTTTTGTTTAGGTTGGAAATATGATTTTTAAAAATGTATGTATTTATTTTATTTATTCTTGATTTTTCCATATTAAACTCAGACATTGGCACAGGGCAATAATGACAATACTGACAATTTCTGGCTCTGCAATTAAACATAATCTAATTACCATTAGCCATTATTATTATAGCAGTGCTGTTTCTACAAGGGTTCTGTAAAAAGTAAAATATTTTTAATATAATCTGAAATATTTTAGGTCTGGTTGGTGTTCATCACTTTGAAAATGCTGTAAATTTATGTCTCAAGAGTTTGGACTCCACCACTTCACAGTGGGACAGAGTGTATGGATGGAGGAAATTTAAGACCATCATTGGTCCCTCTTTATAAATTATTGACCATCAAAGATATTCTCTGACATTATGTTTCATATTCTGCAAAGTCTGAAAAATGATGGTATTAATAGCAGATCTCCAAGAACATTGTCTGTCAGCAGTCTAATAAAGATCCACTGGAAACACCAGAAATCTGCAGATAAATCAAAAGTGGAGGGTTTTTTTTAGATGAAAAGAATACTGCACAGTACAGTATTATAGTTTTAAGACTGCTTACAAAATATTTTAATCAACACATATTTCATTCAGTTTAATTTGTTGTTGAAACTTCCTTTCAACAGATAAAAAAAAAACAATTTGACCTTTGTTGAATCCAAATATCTCATCATCTCCTCACCTTCTCTAACTGTCCAGACACCGGGACGAGTTTGGGAGGAGGCCCACCGATGTTGCCGTTCACAGTCCCGTTGTCCTTTTGGTCCTCCAGGTCGCTGCAGGGACTGGCGACGGTCAGCACCAGGTTGTCGTTCCAGTCTCCAACAACCGCCTCTTCGCTTACATATCTAAAGTTTGCATTAGTTCCACCCTCGGCTGCTCCAGCAGCCATTCCACCCCCACCTGCGCCGGCAGAGTTTCCAGGTCGTGGCTGCTTTTTGGTGGGCAGCGGCGGAGGGAGAACCTGGGCCTGAGGCTGTGTATGGTTGCTGTTGACCAGCAGCTGCTCCAGGGAGCTCCCACTGCGGAGGGTTTTGTCCTGCAGCCGGAAGCAGCTGGTGGCCGGCGTGGAGCGACGTGGTTTGTTGGTGAATTCGCTGCCAGCCCTGCAGTGCCTCTCTTGATACGTCCTGCCTGATATGAGACTGCTCACTGAACCCATGGCTTTGTCGGAGCTGCAGGCCCCACAAGGACCGGAGCAGGGATCCGAGGGGGAGTGGGGTGACAGTGGCTGGCACTGGTGGAGGTCAAGACCTGGATTGGGATGGTCACTCACAGGAAGTGCCTGGACCAGAGCCATGGCAGCCTGACCGCATCAGACAAACAGCACACTAACAGGAGAGAAGAAACAAAAAGATTTCACTCGCATGCTTTAAGTTGAAGAAAACTAACCCTGAGACATGTTTTGTAACAGGACTGAATTTGCATAAATATGTCATCTTAAGCCTTTATTTAAAATATTTTCTGTTTCAATGGCATCAAAGCCAGTATGAGGGTTCTTAGATTACTAAAGGAGTTCGAATTTGGCCTCGATGATCATTTCTGATCATTCCTGCAAAGCAGCCGACAAAAACAATACAACTGATTGAATCATACACGGAAAAGGATGTGAGTTCGGAGCCAGAAAAATACGAGGAGGAATGAAATCCACACTGAATGGCAAGATCCCAAGGGATGGAGTGAACCGTCAGCATCTTACTAATAAATTGAGAACTTTTCCATTGATTTTATAATAATCGAATTGACAAACCTAAAATAATTTGCACACATGGGCACTAAAATGGAAAGGTAAATACAGTTTGTGTCTAAGAAAGGAACATTAGAACTAGTTAGAATAAGAAAACTGAGATTTTCTTCATAAATTGTTTAAACAGCAATCCTTCAATTTACAAACTCTATATAATCACTTGAGGGACAACAAAATGGTAGAGTTTCTATTTTAAAATATCTTCTGCCCTTAAATTAAGACTTTTACAAGTAGTACAAGTAGCAAAGTAGGCTTAATGATTATCCTAATTTTAAATTCAAAGGTTCACATTTGTTCTCAGTACTTCTGTATTTGGTGAGTATTTATAGGAATATGACAAAACTGAAAACCTCTCTTCTTTGGCCCTTTATGCTTTGACATTTGCAAATCTGAAACTCTTAAATTTAGGTTTTACAGAATGCAATTTATATTATATGCATCCAACCAAATGCATTTCTTCTAAATGAAATCAGTAGGATGTTATGTATGGGTTAACATCCTAAATTGTCTTAGAGGAAACTATTTATATTATATCTGGTCCATTAAGGCTACAAGAAAGAATGAAGCATTTAGTAAATAACAGGAAGGAAAAATGGAGTAGTGCAAAGTCGCCATACAATGTCGTACCTGATTTTCTCACGAGAGAGATAGTGTTTGAAATGCCATCCACACTAAAAATGCTAAATGCACATTAAAGTTGCTAAAGTGCAGTGCATGTGTTTGGAAACATGGATCAGGGATAGGGGTGAATCACAATACCACAATCAGCTTTGATTTTTCTGAAAGTCATCATCATGCAAAGCACTCATCTAAATTTACAGAGTTTTGAATTTCAGTCACTTTTCCTTCTTACAGTTACGCTGCTCACACCCATCAAAACAACTTTGAAGAAGCCAACAATAGCCTCAGCGAAACTATTTTTAGGGACAGGAACATGAGCAGATGATACAAAGAGCTGCAGCAGGCTGAGCCCTCCATTTGAAGAGTCTATATCATCAGCGTTTGTTGCCCAGGAGGACTGGAAGGACACACATCTTCAAGACCGCTGCGCTAAGATTTTCTTACAAGCAGAAAAGTAAAATAAAAGTTAGTAAATAATTGCTGCGACAAAGAGTTGCACTGGTGCTAGATTCCAAAATTAAAGACGGCACCACAAATATCTCGACATATTTTCTAAATCTAACCATAGTGTTGCTCAAAAGATGTCGTTATTTAGATGAAGATTTTGCATTCTCCACCAACGGCAAATAAAAACTTTAAAAAGAAAGATTTCACTGCTTCTGTAGCCCACACGGGTTTATGGTGCACAGATATTTAAAACTTTTAAGAAATCTGACTAATGAATAGTGCAGCTCATCCGCTAAGAGGATTATAAAAAATACATAGGCTATGAACTTTTACCTTTGGTAATGCCTTAACAGTAGAACTGTGACATATCCATTTCCCACATCTAAAAATAACAGATTAATGCTGTATGGTAACATTTTTCATAGAAAGCCGTTGAACTTTGTACCCAGAGACAATGTCAGATCAGAAAAACATATACTGGATGTTACATAAATCCATGTTGTGAGTGGGAATCCAAATACTCGGAAATAAAAAAAACAAAACATACTATGTTGGGAAAATAATCTGTACATAAACACTCAGTTGGTTTCTGCCAGTCTACTCAACACTCACTAAACTCTAAAGAGATGAGTTGAAATGCAGGAAGTGGGGGGATGGTAAAGGGAGGACACTGATTCTGTGAGTCCACATGAGTCAAGGAGATAGAGATATTTGTGGTATGTGATCACTCTCAATGCCAAAATAGTCAAAGCTCACAACCTCCTGTTACCTTTTATGTAGCCGCTGCCTCCTCCTCACCCTCCTTTTCCACTTCAAGCCCTGACAAGGACCTTTTGGCCAAGGATAATAGAATTAACAACCCTGTGCAACCATCAACCAAGCCCCCCCCCCCCCTAAGCCGTTACCCTGTGACCTCCTGATGAGTTGCAGGGAACTGGTTTGATTTCATCCTTTCCAACCTTGTGACCTCCACTGGAGGGAATATTGTTCTGGCTACTACGGCAACAAATCTCAAAGGCTAATATCCCCCTCTCATGTTCCTCACTAGGTTGTTTCTTTAGGTTAGTGAACCCCCCATCTTTCTTTGTTGAAACATTCCTCTGAGAAAGTGAAAATACTTTATGTTCCCATCACTTGTTCCTCAGTGGATCCATCTTCTTCTCCAGTCAGCAGCACTACTAGGGCAGAGGGAAAAACAAGCTTTAATCACCACTAAATAGAAAGAAAATTTCCACTTCCTGCACATTTTTCTGACACTGGAGCATTTAAAAATAAACTGTTTGCCTACACCTCGCAGGGGCCAACACGGGGAAGTTAAATCTAAATTCATAAAACTTATAACCTAATGCATTCCATTTTCTGACAGATTAAAATTGCACTAGATCATACTGTGCTTGAATGTATCCTTCACATCAACTGGGCCACAATAATAAGTTTCCAGGTAGCTTTCTAACAAGATACAGAAGGAGGTCCTGCGACAGGGAGGAAATAATCCTGTTATGATAAGTCTGTTAAAAATGCCAAAAGAGGAAGCGTATTATTCCCCGCAGTGGATTCCCCCATTTGCAATCACACGCAACCTCTGAGCTGTAGTGGAGACTCTGCTGGGCTCTGGACAGCGTTGGAGACGTGAGAATGGAGAGAAATGTGAAAAAAAAGCATTTTAGAGGGGATGAAACAAAGGCAGGCAGGAAGGGGGTGACTGATGGAGAGGTTGAGGGGATTTTAGAAGAACAAGTAGTCTGGAGAGAGGCCGCGAGTGCTTGGAGAAATCAGGCATTTGTAATCCAGTTTGAGAACCTTAAGACAGTAAATGTGGACAGAAACACCATCTGTTGTTCTAATTCCTCAATATGAGAAAATGTTACGTGAGTTTCAGGAGTCATTTTGCTATTTAAATCTTTTTCCCTCATTTGTTTCCCTTGTAGATCCTTTAACCGGAAGAAAAAAAAATTAATTGTGGTTTCCAGAGTTATATAATAAAGGCAGAGGCTTTCAATGGGTCTCATTAGATTTCAATAACGAACCAGCAAGCAGAGAAGAGATCACACATAATACTGATTTCAAAGTTTGATGCTTTTCCAAATAGCTTTTTAAAATATAAAGGGTTCATAACAATTTTACTGTCATTGTTGCAGAGGCTTTAAAGATGGAAAATGCAAAAAACACAGCTTGTGATGAAAAAAGAATAGATGGAATAAAGCTTGGAAATACAAATTTATTTCCCTTCTTCTCTTTTTCCATTTTCATCCAGAGCTGGGAAATACTGATATTTGTTCACATACGAGTGAACAATTAACCTATGCAAGTTAGTGATTACTGGAAAGTATTTAATCAGACCAGGGAGAACGTGTTTGATTGATGAGAATACCTGGCAGAGAGCTACAGCCTACATGAACTAACTGTTCAGGTTCTCAAAAGGTTTGCAGCATTTTTCTGAGATCTTCAGTTCATCTTGTTTACATCTTAATTTGTCACTCTCAGCTACCTTTATTAGTAAATTTTGTTTTAGAAAATCCAGCATACAAAGTTGGCTGGGTCATAAGTGACAGGTATTCTTAAAATATGTGAAACGATTCAAAGGTTCACTAACTACAATTAATTTCACAGGTTTTTAAACGTGCCAAAATTTGAGTCGTGAAATAAGAAACAGCAGGAAGTCATCTCATTGCTCAGAGACATTTAGTCGGGTAAAATCTGCTATTTTCTACTTATTACATTTTTTTTTATTGATTAATCTACATCTGGTGCAGTGATACTTTAGATCGACTTCAGAGAAGTTCAATCAGTGGCAAAGGTGATGTTTTTCTAAAGTCATATTTTAGGAGTTTCCCACTTCCTTCCTACAATTAATTTCCCTTCCTACTTTCCTGTTTACTTTGTCATGTATCCTCTCTTTCACATTTCTTGAGATGGATTTCTGCTCTACTCCTCTCCTGCCATTCTACTTTAGTTTTTTATCCCTTTATTCATTCAGCATCCTGTCTTCTTAGCTCTATGGAAACAGATTTCCATCTGCCTATATCTGAACTGTGACACACTGCCACTGAAGTAACTGTGAAGTTATGAAAAAATAATTACCAGGTATCCAATGGGATGTAATTGGATACCTGGTAATTATACAGTTTTTTGGGGAGGAACAGTGCCTTAAAAATAAAATTAAAGCCTATAAAGTCATTTATGTTTAGTGAAGATTTTATTTTATATCAGAAGAATTTATAATGGACTTTTACTAATATAAATCAACACAAAAAAGGTTTAATTGTAAGAGTTGAGCCCAGCAAACCTAAGCAGTGAAGGTAAGCTGGAATAATGCTGAAAACAAAGAAGAATTCACAATAGAAGCTTGGCAGCAAGACACCGACACACACATTAGCTCAGAAAGGTGATGTGTCCACACCCTGACTGTTTTCCCATTTATTTGTGACACATCTACTCACAAAATCTCCGACATCAAATTTCAGACAAAAGAGAGCCGCACTGCATTGAGAAAACCAGCTGAGCTCTTTTAAAGTT